TGCTGCGAAGGACTGGCGGGCAGCCCCAGCCCACGCGCTCCGGAACCTTGGCAGTTATGGCGCTCCCCTGAGCAATCTTACGGTCTGGAACGTTCGCTTAGCCTGTCGCGGCGGCGGCCCTGGCGACAGGCCTTGCCCTGCGAGTGGATAGCGTGTCGCTCCGCTCCGCGGGGCGGGAGGCTAAGACATGATCGACCCACGAACCTGGAAAGGGATGTAGAAATGCAAGGCGGGGCAGCGATTTCAAGACACATGATTGGGCGACGGGCAATTGCAATGCTGAGTGATATGCCGTGCCACAAGCCCTGCTGTGCTGTGCAAGGCTGAATTGCGATGTGCCATGCCGCGATCGTGTTCAAAAGCGTTGTGGATCGAGTCCTCCTTAGCACCCGAATCCTCACCGAACTGATCTGGATCTCAAGCTCGAGCTGCCTGAGCACAAAAAAGTAGCTGGCCCAGAGATAGTTGAAGTCGAAAGGTGCAGGACGTTCAAGCAACTCGAGCTCCAGTCGACCCAGCTTCGAAAAGGGACAGCACCGCACGGGGCACGGGCTCACGGACGCGCCACCGGATGTGCCAGGGGCGCAACAGGGGATGCGCGAGGGGAGGTGTCAGGGGACGTCTTGAGAGGACGTGCCCTGGACGTGTCATGGACCTGCCGCGGGACGCGCCAAGGCGCGTGCCATAGGGAAGGCCAGAGGACGTCATGCCAGGGGACGTGGCAAGGGGCGTGCCACGGAACGGGCAGGAGAAGCCCCTGAGGGGACGTGCCAGGGCAAGTCGCGCCAGAACGTCGCAAGGGACGCGCCAGGGGACGCGCCAGCGCGCCAGAGTACGCCCCACGGACGGGCGGGGTTGGGCTGCGACGCACTCTACTGCGACAAGCGTTTCGCTCGAGGCATCCTCAACAAATCCTCACGTTAGAGATCCGCCTGAGCGACATGGACACGTGGCAACAAACGTCTCTCTCGAGACATCCTCTTCCTCATCACCATCATCACCACAACCGCCACCGTCATAATCATCAGCATCAGGATCATCATCAGCAGGGTCCGCATCATCATCATCATCATCATCATCATCATCATCATCATCATCATCATCATCATCAGCGTCATCTTCAGCATCATCATCACCATCAGCATTATCATCATCACCACCATCATCATTATCATAATCATCAGAAACATCATCAGCATCATCATCAGCACCATCATCATTAGCATCATCAACGTCATCAGCATCGTCATCAGCAACTTCGGCATCATCATCCTCATAATCAGTATCGTCATCATCCGCACCAGCATCATCATCATCATCATCATCAGCGTCATCTTCAGCATCATCATCACCATCAGCATTACCATCATCACCACCATCATCATTATCAGAATCATCAGAAACATCATCAGCATCATCATCATCAGCACCATCATCATTAGCATCATCAACGTCATCAGCATCGTCATCAGCAACTTCGGCATCATCATCCTCATAATCAGTATCGTCATCATCCGCACCAGCATCAGCATCATCGTCATGATCATCATCATCATCATCGTCATCATCATCAGCATCATCATGATCATCACCATCACCATCACCATCACCATCACCGTCATCATCATCATCATCATCATCATCATCATCATCATCATCATCATCCTCACCACCGCAACCATCACCATCACCATCACCAGCATCATCATTAGCATCAGCATCACCATCAGAATCGTCATCATAATCATCATCACCATCGTCACCATCATCATGATCATCGTCGTCGTCGTCGACATCGTCATCGTCGTCGTCGTCGTCGACGACATCAGCATCCTCATCAGCATCAGCATCAGCATAATCATCATCAGCATGGTCATCACCAGCATCGTCATCATCATCACCATCATCGTCGTCAACGTCATCATCACCATCGCCTGCATCATCATCATCATCATCAGCATCGTCACCATCACCCTCATCGTCATCTTCATCGTCATCGTCATTATCGTCTTCATGTGCATCGCCATCATCATCATCATCATCGCCATCATCACCATCCTCGCCATCATCATAATCAACGTTATCATCGTCGTCGCCAGCATCATCATTATCACCATCATCATCATCATCATCATCATCACTGGCATCATCGTCATCGTCATCAGCATGCTCATCATCATCATTGTCATCATCGTCACCATCAATATCCTCGTCGTCGTGATCGTCGTCATCATCATCACCATCATCAATATCCTCATCACCGGCATCGTCATCTGCATCGTCATCTGCATCTTCGCCTACAGCGCCATCATCGTCGTTATCATCATCAGCAACATCATCCTCATACTCAGATTCACCATCATCATCATCATATTCGTCATCGTCATCGTGATCATCATCATTTTCGTCACCATCATTACAATCACCTTCGTCGTCGTCGTCATCATCATTATCACCATGATCATAATCACCATCATCACTATCATGATCACAACCATCATCATCGAATCATCATTATCGTCATCATCACCATTAACACTATTATCATCATCACCACCATCATCAGCATAATCGTCATAATCGTCATCATCATCATCATCGTCGTCCTCGTCCTCGTCATCGTCATCATTATCGTTACCATCAGAATCGTGATCATCATCCTCATCGTTATTCTCCTCTTCCTCCTCTTTCCCCTCCTCCTCCTCCTCCTCCTCCTCCTCCTCCTCCCCCTCAGTCTCCTCCTCATCCTTTGAATAAAATACACGGCGTCCGCGCTTCCAAGGCCAGGATCCATCGTAAATTCCGCTGATTCCGCGCCCACTGAGCCAGGATCCATTGAAAATTACGCGGCGTCCGCACTACCAGAACCACTTGGGCATCCTGGGGCGCCCAGGTCCCCCAAGTTCTGCAAAACAGGCGTTTCGCATGAGACATCCTCGAGGATCCTGCGCGCAGGACGTGACATCCTCGAGCGGGCACGCACAACATCAACTTTTCCATACTTAAAAAATGAAACTATCCGAACCTCGTCCTTTAGTGGGGATTCTGCGCAAAACGCTCCGCAATTTTTTAAACAAAGGAAAGCGGGAGTCTGCGGACCCCATTAGGCAACGAGGATTCGAGATGCGGGGCACACTTTGATCGAGTGGGCACGCACGGAATGCACTTCTTCGACCAGAAAATGTCCCGCACCCTGTGATTGATCGCTCGGGATTTCAACAACCAGGATTTCGCTCGGGATATTAGCAACATGTAATCAGCCCGCCCTCTTCGCCCTCGCTATCTATCGCAAATATATCCGCCCTTCTTCGAACTTGGCTCCGGGGACAGGTTTGCAACACTGAAAGAGAACCCATGGCACATGCCCTCGCCGGGGAAATATCGAGACGCTGACGTCCAGGGACGGGGACGGGGATCACTCTGGGGGTAGGGCAGGGGTGTGGTGTAAAGGGGTGTGGTGCCAATGCTGGACCTGGCGAGGTTATCTATCGCAGATCACATCGCCATGTCCACGATTGGCACCACTCCCCATTATGCCACACCCCCTTCCGACCTCCAGAACTTGAGCAGGGACCGACCGTCCCGGCATTCCTATACTCCTACCACGAAATGTTCTAAGAACCCAAGAATGTTTTAAGAACAAAAACAATGTTCTTAGAACAGATTCCCGATGTGTTAAAACAAGACAGACTCCGCCAGAGATGTTCTAAGAACAGCTCCTGGAAACCACAGAAAAGGTTATTGGAACATTGTTCGGTGGGGCTGTAGGCGAGCCAGGACGCCTCGCCGCTGCTTGAAGAACCACACCTCACGCCAGCGCCTGGTGGGCCAGGGCCGGCGGCGCAACACGAAGCGAGGACCGGTGGGCCCACAGTCGGGCCAGTCTTCGGCACCGGGGCCTGGGGGGTGGCCCACGGGCCGCGCCTCGGGCGGGCAGGCTGCGGCTCGCAGCTCTCTGGCAGAGGGCACACAGCTTGCCGTCGCTCGGACGCCCATTCCCCGTGCATGTTTCGGCCTCGTGCGTGCTTTGGTTGCTCGATGGTCTAGGATGGTCCTCGATCGATGGCTCTCGCCGAGGAAAATGCACACGTCCGAGCGATGCCAAGACAGAGGATGCAACGGTGTCCAACGACGGATGCGCGCGTGCCTGAAGAGGGGAGGGCCTGAGCACCCTGCCCGTGCACCCGCATCCGCCCTCCTCAGGCCCTGGACACCTGCGGCATTGGCGACGATGCATCGCCGACGCATCGGGAATACATCGGCAACACAACACCGGCGATGCATCAGCGACGTCGGCAAGAAGAACATCCGATCCGGATCCGCATCGATCCGCATCGCCGATGCATCGGCGATGCGGTGCGATCCTCCGACCCCGTCTCCTCTGACTCCATTTGGGAGCGTCGACGAAGCATCGGCGTGGAGAAAATCGGGATCCGCATTGATCTACACTGCCGATGCATCCGCGATGTGGCGCGACTATTCGGACCCTGTTTGGGACGCCCGGATCACGTCCGCCCTCGCCTCCTCTGGGTGGGCAGGAAGATACCGATACCGCTAGTCCCCAGACTCCTCTCCCGGGGTGCGTTTTATTCTGACCAACACTTCTAGGATATGCCACCCGTGTCGACGAAGGCTCTCCAGGACGGGCAGCTGTTTCGGCACCGGGCGCGTTTTCGGGCGGTCGTCTTTGTAGCTTTGGGGCTCAGGCGCAGGGCCGCCATCACCATCTAGTAGATGAGCCCCCTCGGCTCTCCTCCTCCTCCTCCTCCTCCTCCTCCTCCTCCTCCCCCTCCTCCTCCTCCCCCTCCTCCCCCTCCTTCTCCTCGTCGTCGTCCTCCTCCTCCTCCTCCTCCTTGACCCAAGATCCTCACCGACCTCCTACGCGTTCCTCCTCCTCCTCCTCCTCCTTGACCCACGATCCTCACCGTCCTCCTGCGCGTTCTGATCCTCTGGCTCACCCTCAGGATCACGACCCTTTGATCCTCCCAAGATCCCGCGGCCTTTTCCGCCGGACGAGGGTTCAGGCACAGGGCCATCGCGGGGGGCGCCACGTAGATGAGGAACGCCGCGAGCAGGGCCCCCTCGATCGCCTGGCGCGGGGGCTCGGCGCGGCGCAAATGGGGGGCAAGAGGACTGGCCAGAAGCAGAGGCGCTGCGACGAGCTTGCCCTTTTGAACAAAAAAACAAGGCGGCCTCTACTTGCGGGCAGTCGTGCTTCGCCAGCCGAAGTAAAAAAACGGCCCGAGCGATGGCAAACGCGAGAGAGCCACCACCCAAGAGCCAGGGACAAATCTGAGTCCGAGGACTCTGCGCAGCTTACGCGAGCAGCTTGCGCCCAAGGAGCTTCGCCTTCCTCTTGGCGGAGTGCGTCTCGCACTCCGGGCGTTCCCCTTTCACTACACGATCTGTCCACCTCTGGAGATTGTTGCGAGTCGGGGGGCGGCACTCCTTGGCCAGCAAAGAAAGACAGTGGGCCGAGCGTCGAGATCGCGTCGCTTCCGACACAAACGACTCGAATCGATCTGTCGCTGCAGTCGAGGCCAAGAGGCGATCGCCTCTCTCACCCATTTGCTGCAACGAATCTGGCACCGCTCCAGAGCAACCCAACGTCGGTGGTTGGTCGCCTTCTCCACAAAACAGATTATTCCAAAGGGCGGCGTACCTTCAAGCACACCGCGCACCTCCAATGAATGCTACACCATTCCCACTGGTGGTGTTCGGGAGAGGCCAAGGTGTTGGGCTCGGGCTCACACGGGGGCCCCGGCGACACGCGATAGCGTGTCGCTGCGCTCCGCGGGCGACTCGGGAAAGCTCGGAACCTTGACACCTGGGGGCCAGGACGTGGATAGCGTGTCGCGCCGAGGCATGCATGATTGGCCAAAACTGGCGGCGCGGCACGCTACGCAAACCCATCTGACCATATCCCCAAGCCCCGCCGCCGCCGCCGCGGACAGCCCTTTTGGCCAGCTCTAACACGGCCCGAAGCCCCTAAGATCGCTACAACGTCTGGCCAATGATGCTGCCGTGTCTGGTAGCCGTGAGTGAGAGAATTGATGCGTCGTGCGTTTTTTTTTAATGGAAGGTATGTCGCAGAAAATCGCTCCAAAACGGCCCATTAATCAAGCCTCCAAGGGAGCCTCAACACGGCCCACGGAGACTCCAAGGCGGCCCAAGTTTCTCCCAAGACGTCACTGGAAAGCCCCAAGACACCTTCAGGAAGACCCCACGATGGGAGAGCTCCAACGGACATTTCGAGCGTTCGCCCTCGAGAGGCGTGCAGGCTGCCCCAAGCGGCCTCCAAGAGACCCCTAAGAGGGTCCACAAGGCCCTCAAGAGGCGCCAAGAGAGCCCCAAGAGGCATCCAAGGCGCCCCCAGGAGGCCCCCAAGAGCCCCTAAAACTGCTGCACTGGAGCCCCCCGAGAACCCTCCGCAGAGACACCAAGCAGCATCCACGAGGGCTCTCGTCCACAACCGCAGCAGCGCCGATCAGCAGCGCCGCATGGCCCGCGGACGCGCACGCCGACGCCAGCGATGGCGCAAATCGGGCCGGCGGAAGGAGCGAAGCGATGAACTAGCTCAGGTCTCCGGCAGCCATTCGGGACGATCTGGGCACCGCTGGAACGCTCTCGGCCAGGCGCAGCTGCTGGGAGGCATCCCGAGGCTGGACAGGCGCCGAGAATCTACGGAAACGACCAGAAGGATGAAGAATGAAAGCAGGCAAAGTTCCCGACTGCAGAGGCCGAAAACGAATCTTTTCGAGACGCCTGAGGTCTGGGCACTTCTTTCTCTGCGTCGGAGCTCAGGTCGGCGGCGAGCCCGGGGGGAAGTAAGAAGCGGAGGGCCTGCTCAGGAGGCTCACAAATCCTCCGGCCTTCTGAGAAGTGCTCCAAGTCTCCCCCGCAGACGCGGACACCTTCACAGGAGGCTCGAGGCCTTCTGAGAGAAGTCCCGCCGCGTTCTGAGAAAGGCCTCTTCCTCCTCGCTTCCCCCCCCCCGCGCTCGCCGCCGACGGGGTCGGGGCCATCCCTTCGCTCGCCGCCGACGAGGTCTGGGCAATCCCTTCGCTCGCCGCCGACGAGGCCTCTTCCTTCTCACTTCCCCCCCCCGCGCTCGCCGCCGACGAGGTCTGGGCAAATCCCTTCGCTGCGTCGCACGCCCGGGCCCGCGGCCGTGGCGGCCGCGGCGCGCGGCGGCCCGCCGCGGCGGCCCGCGGCGCGGGCCTCGGGCGCCCGAAGGGGGAGAGGCCCGCGGGGGGCAACGGGGGGCGCCCTCGGCCGGAGGGGAGGGGGACAGGTTTGTTGGTCGGCGGGGCGGGAGCGAACCGCTTCCGCTAAAAGCTAGGCGGGCTGCGCACAGCTCTAATCAGGGAGACAGGGCACAGGCGGGCGGGGCCTCAGGCGGCCGGAGTGGGCGGGGCCCGGGGTGCAGGCGGTGTAGAAAGGAAGGGGGGCAGGGCGCAGGGAGGAAGCCGGCAGGGAGGGAGGGCGAGGCGGGAGAGCGGAAGCCCCCGACCGCCGGAAGGCGGTAGGGCGGAGGGCGCGGGGCGGAGGCGGCCCGCCTGGAACTGCCCGAGGTCCCGGAAGGCGCACGCCACCGAGACCGCGGCGGCGAGCAGGAGCGCGGTGAGCGCCCGGTGCTGCGCCTCGGCGGCGGCGAGCGCTGGGCCGACGGTCCGCGGCCCAGATGCCCCCCCCGTCATCGGATTCCAGCTACAGATGCCCCCCACATCACTGGGTACCGGAGCACTGCGGGGGGCCGGGCCTTGAACGAGGAAAAAGAAGAAGAAGAAACAGAGAGGAAGCAGCACTGACAATAAAAATTCGCCGGCCCAACGGGCCAGGGCGTGCTAAGATCTCCGGTAACTGGTTAACAGTATTAACAGTATTTCTAGTTCGCGCGCGCGGGGCGGCCCCTGGGGGTCCCCCGGCGAAAAGTACCCCGACCAACGCCCGGTCGCCGCCCGACCGCCGCCCGACCGCCGCCCGACCAAGTCTACTCAGAGATGGTTTTCCTTCTGGGTGCGGCCTCTCAGGCTCCCCAGAGCGCGCTCAGAGTGCCCCAAGAGGCCCCCAAGACTGCCCAAGAGGCCCCCGAGACGCCCAAAGAGCGCTCGAAGACGCCGAAGATGACCCCAAGACGGCCCAAAAGGCCCCCAAGACAGCCCAAGAGGCCTCCAAGACGCCCCAAGAGCCTTCCAAGAGGCCTCCGAAGAGAGCCCCAAGAGGCCAAAATCGTTGATTTTCATTGGTTTTTTTCGATGTTTTTTGTGTTCTGGCTTTTTCGGCTTCCGGACGCTCCAAGACGGCCCAAGAGGCCCCCAAGACCGCTCCAAGACGGCCCACGAAGCTCCCAAGACGGCGCCGAAACGACCCAAGAGAGCCCTCAAGACGGCCCAAGTGCCACCCAAGACGGACCAAGAGGCCCCAAGACGGGCCCAAGAGGGACTCAGGAGGGATACCGAGAACTCAAAAATGGAGCCCTCCGTCCCAGAAGGCGCCCAGGAGGTCCCAAAGAGGCCCCAAGAGGCCTCCAAGAGGCCCCAAGATGTCGCCAAGAGGCCCCAGGAGACTCCCAGGAGGCCCAAAAGAAGCCCCAGAAGGCTTCAAACATGTCTCCCAGGCGCCCCCGAACGGCCTCTCAACAGACCCCAAGAGGCCCCCCAAAGAAGCATCTTGACGACGACTCTATTTCGCCCCATCGAGAGACGACCCCCAGGGAACTGCTTCACCATCAAAACTCCCCACGCAACGCGTCCGAACGACACCCGCCCCCAAGAGCGCAACATGGGCAACGAACACACAGACAAAAACCAGCGATGCCATATCACGGGCCGGCGGAATGAGCGAAGCGATTCAATAATACTCATTGTAATACTAATACTAATACGCATACGAAACTTATTAGTAAAACAAATATTAATGCTAATACTAATAATAATCATACTACTGATAAGAAGAATAATGATAATACAGTGATAATAACAGTGAAATGAAAACGAAGACAAAAGAAAGAAGAAGAAGAAGAAGAAGAGAAAGGGGCCGGGAGGCCCCGAGGGATATCATGGCCACCGCCGTGATATCCACACACGCACACACACACACGCACACACGCACGCACCCACACGCGCACACGCACACACACACACACATACACACACACCCACACAAACACACACACACACACACACACACACGCGCACACACACACGCGCACACACGCACACGCGCACACCCGTACACACGCACACACGCACACACGCACACGCGCACACACGCACACACGCACACACACCCACACCCTTGGGCATCCCCACGCCCCTCTCTGGGCCGCCCCCGAGCCTCCCGGAGCGCGAGCGCTTCCCTCGGGCCGCCGGCCCCCCGGGGCTCGCTCATCGGCGAGCGAGCGAGGCCTCCTCCTCCTCCTCCTCCTCCTCCTCCTCCTCCTCCTCCTCCTCCTCTCCTCTTCCTCCTCCTCCTCCTCCCTCTCCTCCTCCTCCTCCTCCTCCTCCTCCTCCTCCTCCTCCTCCTCCTCCTCCTCCTCCTCCTCCTCCTCCTCTCCTCCTCCTCCGCCTCCTCCTCCTCCTCCTCCTCCTTCCTCCTCCTCTCCTCCTCCTCCTCCTCCTCCTCCTCCTCCCTCCTCCTCCTCCTCCTCCTCCTCCTCTCCTCTCCTCCTCCTCCTCCTCCTCATCCCTCCTCCTCCTCCTCCTCCCTCCTCCTCCTCTCTCCTCCTCCTCCTCCTCCTCCCCCGCCCCATCCGCCTCCTGGCCAGCGGCGGCTCCCCGAAGTCAGAGGCGAGCGAGGGGGGGGGGAGAAGGAGAAGGCCTTTTCCAGAGGGCGACGGGGCTCCTCAGAAGGCCTCGGGCCTCCTGAGGGGCTTTCGGTGTCTTCGGGGGAGGCTCAGAAACCTTCTCAAAGGCCGAGGGACTACAGTAGGAGCTCGACCACAAGAAACCATCCACAAGAAGCCCGACCCTGAGACCCCAAGACGTCCATTGATGTTTGGCGTCGGAACGTCTCGCCTGCCATGGCAAAACCATCGAACCCCACGAAACCCTGGGCACCCCGGAAGCAAGCAGGGTGTTTCTTGGCATGGGTTTCCGCTTTACCGAGCCTTCTGAGAAGGCCCGCCCCTTCTCTAGAGGAAAATATAACATTAAACACAAACTTTCGACGGTCCGCGCGGATTTCTTGCATTTGCGCTGTGCCTTCCTCCCTGGCGCGCTCCGCGAGCCAGGGGCGGTGCCAGAGGCGCCGCCAGGGTGCCCCAACGCAAATCCAAGTAATCCGCGTGGAGCGTCGAACATTTATGTGTATGCCGATTTCGCTTCTTCGATTCTCACTGCACCCCCGGACTCCTCCGCGCGCCGGAGGGGGGCCCAGCCCCGATCCTAGAGACTCGCGCGGTGCCATGGTGTCTCCCGCTGCTCCCGCAGGGGCGCGAAACTCACCGCACTTCTCACGCTCTGCCGCCCGGGCTGGGACGCACAAAGACATGCCAGTACGACAGGCTCTCTCTCCTTGGAGGCGCGCGTCCGACCCGAACAGATAGTGCACCGATCCTATAGTACGCCGTTTCGCGAGCGGTGTGGCCAGAAAGCGCCCGCCACGACGCCTATACTGTAAGATCTCTCGGCGCGCGCGTCGCCCCATTGGTGGGCGACGCGCGCTCAGTTTCAGTTCGTCAGGGTGACGCCGACGGGCCGCATACCCGCTCTTCTCTGAGCCATCCTCCCAGAGGCCGAACGTCGTTAGGCTGGTGCGAGGTAGGCTGTCTGACTTCCTGTCAGACTGGTCCGTGGGCCTCGTGAGCGGCTAGTGGGACGGATCGTTGAGCCGATTCGGTGACGCTGGAGGGCTGGCGACAGAGGGAGGGCGTGTCTGCCCGCCGCCAGGCACATGAAAGATATACACTCAAAGGACTCTCTGGCAGCCTCGGCCACAGAGGGAGGAGGAAGAGGAAGAGGAGCAGGAGGAGGGAGGAAAGAGAAGAGGAAGGAAAGGAAGGGAAGGTGGGGGAGGAGAGAGGAGAGATATCGATGATGGTGATGATGGCGATGATGATGCTGATGATAATGATGGTGGTAGTGATGGCGATAATGTCAGGGCTGACATCGTGGACGATCATGACGAACATCACATTGCTGTTGGAACAAACTCTAGGTAATCTGCCGATTTGCAACTCTGGCATTGTTGTAACGTTGACAAAATCAATGTTTGTTGGATTACCGTAAGTTCGCTTACTGTGGGCTCAGATTGCTATTTGCTCAAGGGCCACTGGGGGCCCGACGAGCTTGGTGACTCAAGCTGGATTGCCTGAGCCAAGTTCTTCTTCGGTCAATCAAGTTGTGCTCTTTCGCATCTGCTTCACTTAAGCGCGAAGGCAGCTTGTCGCTTCCATGTCGAGGCATCTCCCATTAGTAGGGGGGACGGCGGTGATCAGGCAGCAAAGTGCCAGAAACAGGTGGTGGAACTTACATCAATGGGTAAAGACTTCCAGACATTATACACCTTGTTGGACAACATATTCGCCGCAGAAATTGTAAATATAAAACAAGACGTGCACAAATCGGACGAGACGGCTGACGACGCTATTAATCGTTGCGCCTCGCTCGAACGCTGGATGACTGGCGTTGAAACTTCCACGCCAACAGGATCAACCTCGAGTGAGAGTGGTGTCCGGGCCGCCATGCATCTCGGCATCACAGTGGGCACGCATCGGGAGCGAAAGACCCTAGGATACGACGCTCCGTCAGCACCAGGATGGCTCAACAGCATTCGTGCTCAATTGCCCGTCGCCGACCGTGGAATGTTGGGGCAGGTGGAGGCCCAGGTGCAGATCATTGATTTGCACACGTTTCGAGTCGAAATCAATAAAGCAGCAGTGACATGAGGCGCATGGTCACGGAGGCGATGAACTCTCACAGCATCCACATCAACGGCCGTGCGGTGAAAGTCAATACCGAAAACTCCCCGCAACGCATCCAGAAATGGTCCTGCTTGGGGACCTTGGCGGAAGCTTTCGAGATGAAGGCCACTAGCTTTGGATGGTCAACATAAGCGGATTGGAATACATCTCTCACAGTCAAGGCCTTGAGGGGTCCAAATGACAAAGTCTTAGTGGCCGGAGTCACTACGAATGAAAACTCGAGTTGGTGGAGGATTGGATCGAAAAATTGGATGGAAACAGAGCAGGGCTGAATAGATGATGCGACAGTAGCGGTGTAAGGGAGGTTCCACTGTCTTGAAAGAGATTCGCAACATACGAATACAGTCGTTGAAATTACAGCACAAGCGTCAGGCTCTCCAAAAAGCAGTGTTTGAGCGATTGGGCAAGGTAAGACAATTCCTGGTTGCGTGCCTGCAAGAGGCCTTGATGTGGAAGAATAACACACGCTTGGTAACATTATCTGCTACACGTCCAATAATGCTGACTGTGCGATCTGCGTTCCCGCGCAGATGTCGGAATCAGTCGTCCGTGAGTTTCATGCGCGCCTGTGTTCAATGGTCCAGGTGGGTCGGACCGCCAAATTTGTTCGTGCAGCGGGGCAGCACGTCGCGAGAGATTTCATCAGTCTCCAGGTCATGGAACAACGCATCAAACGTTGGAATAATACACGGCCTTCTGCAGGTCGTTGAGTGGTGG